CTGTCACGAATCCGGTCCACGAACTTTCCTATTCATTGACTCTCGCACTACACACTGTTGCAAATCACCCCGGCCTACATTTCCCATCATGCATTGCACTGATTGCACTCAGCACGAATTGCACACACCTGTTTACACTGATTGCACCCAGCTGTTTCATATCACTCCCTCACTATTTAACACTCACTCTGATCCCTTCCCTCTGCCGAGTATTGTTTCAGCGTTTATCACTCTCCTAGAGATATCTACCTTACGGAGCCCTTGTCATTGCCTTAGCCCTAGTCATTAGCCTTAGCCCTAGTCATTTGCCTTAGCCTTAGCCCTAGCCTAGCTGTTTTCCCGGTTTCTGATCTTCGCCTGGTTTCCTGGATTTCTCCCTTAGTCTTGCTCCTTCTGACTCTGTCTGCCCATCGTCGACCCACGCTAGCCCTAGGACTGTTCTTGTGTCTTGCCCACCATATACCTGTCTGCCTCTGTTTGACCCTGCCTGCTTCATGACCACGTCTCTGTCTTCTCCACAATAAAGCCTTGCAGATGGATCCGCACGTCTCACGTCTCGTCAGCTCTGTAACAGTAATACTGTAATAGAATAATTTATTGTAATGTAGGACTATATGGCCTCCACTAGAGAGAGCCAATGATCTGATGAGTTGTTGATATGGTTCAGCTAAAAACTGATCTCTGCTATTATTAGGCTACACAAGAAATGTGCATATGATGAGTTAAAATGAAATGTAACAGTTAAATGTAATTGTTTAAAGGTGAAATTATGTACAATAAAGAGGGAAATTATATAATATGGGATTCTTGTATCTCCTGCTGATGTTTGTCAAGATTCGGTAAGGACTTGTTTGCTATACTGTGCATTAAAAAGAAAAGAAGACTCCTCATAGACAGTTAGCTGGATCTGTTGTCCAGTGTACATTCGTACCATCTGGCTATACTCTACAGATGCAGCCAGGTGTGGCAAAGGTTCTGCAACCACCATAACTTAACCCATTTACTCACAAATTGTTCCCAGCTAAGTGAGTGCATGCATTTTAATTAGATAACCAAATGAAACCTTATGCATGTCTGCAAACAATTAACAAGTTACACAGTTTATTATATAATGTGAATCAGTTACTTGAATAACACTTTACGATAATAATCCATTTAACATCACTTCATTAGTTAACATTTAGGCTACATTTATTCATTTAGCAGACACTTTTATCTTACAAATGAGGAAGAAAACAAGTGATTTGTCATTACACAAAAAGTAACATTATCCAAGATGAAATGCTGTAGAAGAGTTAATTTCACCATTTACTTATACATTTTTTAAATCAAAGTTCAAATGCACTTTGAACATGAATAAACAATGAACAATTGCATTTCCATTGACTAACCCTGACAAAGATTATAAATAGCCTACTGAAAGAGGTATTGTTAGATATGTTAGCTAATGTATTAAGGAAGGTTAACAAACCTTATTGGAAAGTGTTACCATTAATTATTAAAAATTAGGATCTGGGTTTTCACATATGCAACCACTGACATGTTTTAGTGCATTGTGAACTCAATTTATGTACAAGAGACTACAGATTAACCTTTACAGAGAAATAAAAGTAGCCTACTTTTATGCAGGCTACCAAATTTGGACGTTTAATTTCTATTATGACATCATTGTGCTTTGCATGCTTCTTTTCATAAACATCATCTTTCAGATGAGCAAACTGGAATAAAAAAAGCTCTGATCATAGCAATATATATATATAAAACATAGCCTACATAATAGCCATCAACAACTCCATGTAAACTGTAGACTCTTAAAATTTAGAAGTAAACGGCCACAAATGCTACCACTGGTATTAACTGAGTGATTAAGGACCAGCATACGCATTTTGAGATGATGGTGATGTGGCCCCGTCCTTCCCTCCCACTGATCTGATCTCACCGTGCGAGAGACGCGCTGCTTCGCGCATGCGCACACGCGTACGGCTCAGTTTTGGGAAGGAAAAAAGGCGAGCAGAACTCATCGGTCTGCCTATGGCCGAACGAGCCACGGCGCTGTGAACACAACAAAGAGACAGTTTGACTGTAAATCATACAGGTGGAAGCGACCGAGCAGGTATGATAGGTCGTCATAACCTTTTTTAAATAAATCAAAATCGCAGCTCGCCAGGAAAGGTGTTTTTGTTGCATAGCAGCTGGTTGTACGAACAAAGCGGTCCTGACTGCAGAAGAGATACATTTTTTGCCATTTAACAGTCGTTAAAAGCCAGTGTACTAGTTAAAGGACCTGTAGACAAGTCTAGCCGCCTTTAATAAAACAAAACGGGGTTCATTATACGGACTCAAGCCTCTCTGGTGAAATACACGCGTTTTGTTGTCATCGCAAAGTCAGTAACGTCGACAAATCTATCTACACTTTCTTTCTGTCTTTCTTTTAGGGGAAGCGACGCATGGCTCTTCATATGAACGTTGTGGCTTGAGAGGAGGACAGTATGTTCACATGAGGGCTCTTGAGACCGAGCGCTGACCGTTGAAAGATTCGCAGAGTCGGGTAGCGTTGATCGGTGAAGACATTGCCGAAGATGCTGAAGAGATTGGCCGCGCCGGCGTCATGCAGCAGCTGCCTTCTCGCCTTCCTCCTCGCCTTCGTCTCGCCCAGGTATACGCTGTCGATCGGTGTCGACAAAACTATGGTGAACAAGGAGGATTATTATAGCGCCACGGTCAACGCCACCGTTTTGGACCATAAAGGCAATCCTCAACAGATGGTGACGAAGAATGACGGGCGGTACGGGCAGAATTCCCCCAAAACAGAGGCGAAGGGGATCGTGATCGCACCTGCTGCTGTTAATGGGGGTGAGTTTGGATGTGCATTGATATTTTGAACAGGTGTGCGAAAATATTTCACCTGAACATTCTTTGCAGCTCTTCACCTATCAATAATTCTCTTAATAACCCTGTTGAGGAAAAAGTCTTAAGATGGTTTGCAGGTCCTCGCTGGTCTCCTAGTCTGGGTGGACTGGTCTTTAGCTGGTTTAGCTATGCAGCCAAATGGACTTAAAGCTGGACCTGCTGAAAAAAGCCCTTGTGAAACCAGGCTTGTCAGGCTGACAGACCAGCTAAAACCAGTTTAGGATTTTTTTTTTAAAAATATGTTAATAGTCCATCTTGGGCTATTAAATTACCAGCTAATGACTATTGAAACCTTGCATGGGACTTTGCCAAAAATGTTATGGATATTGATACTGTATTTTTGTCTACCTAATACATTTTAAGGTCACATTTGCAAATATGTTCAAATCCACCATGCTTTATGAAAGAGAACAATATTGAAAGTCATTTTAGGAAAGTGTGGGTTTGTAGATCAGAAACTTCCTGTGGTATTTGGTATTTTCACATGACTGTCATGTCATTTCCTCTGTTGTGCACAAAGAAAGGAGAAAACTGATGTTGAATATGTCATTAGAAATCTTCAGAAAAAGTCTACTGGCCGTTCAGTGGAGTTTCTTCATTTTTCTTACAGTGGATGCTGACAGTTGCTTTTTGTATATGTGAGACCTTGTGGATAGTCACCTGCATTGACTGATTCTCTTGCAATGACTCCGTAAACAGAACTGTACACCCTTCGTACTATAAACTTGCATAACCTCTCCTGAAGAGGCCCTGCACCACCGTGTGCTCTTTTCTGAAAAGTCAGTGACGTATGGGGATAAGGGACACAAGTGTGGCTTGCTTTGTTTGCAATAACAGAAATACCATCCCTTGCTCTCCTCTGCACTAAATTATCAGCTCTTGTGGTCTCAGAGCATATGTAAGGTGGCCTGCTTGATGCCAGCCAGTGTTGCTCAATTGCTTTGCAAACTTGTGTTTAATCCCAGAACCTGCATGCTCTTTAAGCCCAAAAGTTTCTCTTTGCATTGCCATGGCTGCTGTCTGTGGCTGTTTTATCAATCTCCCATTTCTTTTTTTAGCTGACACATTTAGGCAAATTCATCTCCATTAGCCGCACTTGTTATTCAAAATTTTGCTGAATCATTTCGTTTTTGCTAGATCCTCCTGTATGTATTGAATGGCTCGAGGGAAGTGCAGTATCTATAATCATTCTTTGGCTGGCTGGTGTCGTTTTCCAGTGTTCAGATGTATGTATCTCTCTCTCCCTCTCTATCCCAGTTGTTTTTTTTATACCCTGCTTGTTCATGTTACAGGATGCTCAGAAATCACTAGAAATCCTTGAGACGGAGATTCTCTGTAAATCAATTATTAATCAATATTTATAGCACCATTAGAACGCTTATTGAGGTGCAGGGCACTTTGACTTGGTTTAGTGCCATTGTGGTAAGACTAAGGAAGATGAATATGTCGATATCAACCATTGCAAACTTCACTGCTGATCGCAGATTTTGAGTTCTGTTTTCAAGGCTTGTTTTTGATGAGTTCAGCAGGGCAGTTTTCTGTCGTGTGTCCATTCCTCATTGTACCAATTTTAGCTTACATGCTGTTCTAGTTAACCTAGTGTGTTGAATTGACCCGAGGCAGTTGTCTTACCTACAGTACTGGTCATTATGCCAGTGAACCCAGTGGAGGTCATTAATCCTGATCCAGTCAGGAGCTGGAACAGGGACACTGGGCTCTATATTTAATGTGAAATATGTTCTCAAGGACATTAGCACATCCATTCCCCCGTTTACAGTGAGGAAAGATACTACTCCCCAAAAAGACAATAGCTAAAGAAGACATTCTATCATTTAAAAGTAAGTGTGCACAGTAAATCTAAAGCTATAACAATGTAACGTTATTCTGCTTCTTTTATTACCATCTGAAGGAAAGTAATGATTCTTAGCAGAAGATTGTGTAAAAAGAGAGCAGAATCCTGACATAAAGCAGTAACACCCATTTCCTGTTACTCTAATCTCTTTCTCAGGTCAGGATGCTCTCTCTCTCTCTCTGATGATGGCTGCATTTGTGATTTCACTATAGCATAATCATTCCTGAGTGGTTCAGTACTACTGATCAGCTGACCAAGACTTTTCTCCCAAAGGAAGGAATGGTTGGGATGTTATTGCTTTTTAGAGGATTTAAAGTCCTGGTGGAATTTGCATGTCTTTCGGAGTGGTAAATAACACTCATTAAACTGATCACGATTCTACACCGTGGGCACTGTGGTAATGCTAATAATACTAATAATGTGGATACAGTTTAAAATGACCTGTTTAATACAGAAACATATATGGAAATGAGAAATGGAATTGAGAAATCACCATATAATCAAAATGGACCATTCTTGTTTTTTTATGGAATATTTATTATAAATTATTTATCTGTGCACTGCACACACACACACACACACACACACACACCTACACCTATATATATATATATATATATATATATATATATATATAAATATATATTTACAGTGGTGTGAAAAAGTGCTGGCCCCCTTCCTGACAAAAGTTGAACTTTTTGGAAGGTGTGTGTGTCCCGTTACATCTGGCGTAAAACCCACACCGCATTTCATAAAAAGAACATCTTACCAACAGTCAAATATGGCGGTGGTAGGGTGATGGTCTGGGGCTGCTTTGCAGCTTCAGGACCTGGACAACTTGCCATAATTGACAGAACCATGAATTCTGCACTCTATCAGAAAATCTTGAAGGAGAATGTCTGGCCATCAGTTTGTGACCTCAAGCTCAAGCGCACTTGGGTTATGTAGCAGGACAATGATCCCAAACACACCAGCAAGTCCACTTCTGAATGGCTCAAGAAAAACTAAATTAAGGTTTTGGAGTGGCCAAATCAATGTCCGGACTTAAATCCGATTGAGATGCTTAAACAGTCCATTCAATATATATATATATATATATATATATATATAAATTTTTTTAAATAATTTTTTTTAAATGAATGTGCCCTTGTAGTCTTTAATAAAAAAAGTATGAACACAAATTAACAAATGACAATGATCCAATCGCTTTCCAATACACAAAATCAGTCCTACCCTACTTTTTGTTTGTTTATTGTTGTTTACTCAGGTATACAACAAAATAGGGAAGAAAACTCTGTCACAGTTTCGGGTTGATGGTGATATTAAGTTTGAAATATATGATTCTGTAATATCGATCGGACAGTCCTTATTTCACTTATAAGCCATACAAGAACAGGTTTTTGAAAGCAGTTGCTGAACCTTGATAACTGTCAAATCAACCACCAATAACTTTCGAGTTCCAGCACAAAGCAAAACATAAGATTGTGCAGTATTTGTCTTTGAAAAACTACTAAGTCATTGTAAGCCTCATTGAGCCCATCTCACACAGAAAAAACAAGCAGTTCACTGCTTCCTGTTTGACTGCTTCAAGATTATATTTACTCAGGAGACCTCAATGTATTCGACTGACCTCTGTTTATCTCTCCTCCTGCCCCTCAGATAGCTTACCAGTGGCTCATCAGTAGAGGTCGACTGATGTATTGGTTTTGCCGATTAATCGGCACATATATTTGATTGCTGGGACTATCGGCTGTCTGCAAAAATCCATGCCAAAGTTTTTCCGGGTTGCATCCGTTGCTGGAGCAACTGAGAAGGCTCCGCTGTCATTAGACGGTATGAGAGAGGCCTCTAGAGATGGAATCACTGACACCTCTGGCTGTTTGTTTTGACACGTGACACTGCATGCTGCACAGAGCGGGACACTTCAGATGGGGATTTAAAACATCGACAACTAAACGATGTGTACACATTAAACTGTAGTGCATGTTTTCATATCATTACTAAGTAACTGATTTGCTGACTAGATGTGACATTAGTGGAGAAAGAACAGCAGTATCAAGGCTGAGAAGACGCAAATATTTGCAGCACCTCAAATTGTTAAAACAATGTGACCAAAACACACGCAAGTCTGACGCAAATTGTCACAATTGTTACCATCTATTTGCATTAGTTTATATCCAGCTGGTCACATTAATGCATTTGTTAGCCAGCGAAGTTGCAGATTTAAAGCTAGTGACGTGAGAAAGCAAACTGATTCATTGATTCATTGATTCAGCCTGCAATCCTGCCGCACCACAAAGCGCCATTCACACAGTTTTCCATTGAAATACATTATATTTGTCCCAAATCGTTGTTAATGTACATATTGACTACACCTTAGGCTGTAAATGTGTTGTGTATTTTTCAGTGAAATGTTTGTCTTTCTGTGGCTCTAATAAAGTCTGAATGCTTCATATAGCGACCTATAATATCGACTTTTCTTTCCGTTTTGCTTCGGGGGTTTTTTCACTTCAAACTCATCTATGCTGCTTTTTTGATTATCCTTGAAGTGAACTTTTGCCCGTTTTGGTGATTTAATAAACTGTTTTAGACTGCCGCTTGAACTGAACATGACGCGTCCGGTGTGTGTGTGTGATACCTACGAGTTCGTCTGTGCGGCGCTGTGCTTTTTGCCCGGTGTGCGGATGCCATCTTTTGTTATTTTGATTAGTTAATTGGCAATTTACGTGTGAGAGTATACATACAATATCCATATGTATGTAATTTCAATGCTATGGCCTTTGTGTAGATATTTAAAAGATGACCATCTAGTTAGTGTTAATTTCAACATCATTACCATTTTTCAATTTTGAAGTTGCTTCTGTTAACATTAATCAATGAACTATGAACTAACTTTAATTATCAATAGAAAATTAATTAATATTAATATTTTTATTAATGTACAAAGTATGGTTCAGTACTGTTTTTTAGTAGTAGTAAAGCACTATTTTAGTTTTCTTTCAGTATTCATTAAAAAAATTATTGGTTGATTAATCGGTATCGGCCAGTGTGGTCCAACCTAGCTATCGGTATCTGTAAAATCGGTTGACCT